ATATCAATAAAAAAGTAAAAAAAGATAAATAATGTAAAATTTCGGATCAGCCCGAATCTTGAATCCGGACAATAACCATGAAAAAATAGTACGGAAGTATAAATAAGAACTGGGGAATAAAACATAATATCTCGACTAATTCGTGATGTTTAATGATATCTATGATAAAACTTGAAATAACTATTACATATATATTTTTTATTTAATCTATTATCACCAAAATTATGGTCTAATGCATAATATACTACATACTACAAGAATTACGAATTACGGCAACGACATAGTATTTTAATACGACTGGAGTTACTACTGACGTCATTACTACCAAAAGCTGCAACTTCACTACAATCGGTCGTAATTAATTACCTAAATACAGCTACGCCACTAGTATGGAATAAGGATCATCGAACAAGTCGCAGGATACACTTAAGCAAGCATTGTATATGCTTTTTTTTTGTGGGTGTAGTAAGAAGATTGTTGGACACAATGTCGAGCAGAAAATTCAATGCCAAAGAAAACAAACAGATCATCAGGTTATTCAAATGTCATTTCGTCATGAACAAGTCCAGTGGCTTGATGTTTCATGGAAAGTTCAGTGACTCACAATAATGTACCGCCCTGTGGCTTCGTTTACAGTCGGATCATATTGATTCGATTCGGACGGACATCACTAAACACCATTATTCTGTAATACAAAACATTGATATCATCAATCTACTAAATAATCTACTAAATGTTTTTTTTACAAACATGTTGAATATTATTTGGACAAATATACTGTAAATAAAATAGTAATTTTTTATTGTATGACAAATTAATAGTCAACATACTTTACAAAATGCAAGCTCCCTGAGTACAATTTTTGCCCGATATATGTTTTTTTTGTAAACATGATTTTCTTAATTGTTTCCTTAATGTATGTTGCAAAAGACTAGTTCCAATGAATTGCACTTAGAAGTTGAAATTATTTTTAACCACATAATCATAATAAACAGAATATAGAGCAGGAATAATAGATGGGAATGGTGTATCATCATAGACCATTACGTCTCTAAGAATGATATTAATACAGAATCAAAATTATATATATATATATATATATAAGTATAAATTGATAGTAAAAAATTTTTAATAATTCTCACCTTCTACGCGGGCTTGGCCAATAATACACAGCAGAAGTCCATGCAGATAATTTCGATTCATCTTCTCCAAGAGTGAATTTCAATCCCCAATATGTACTTCCGCTAACCTGTGAAACCATATAAAAATCATCTTCAAAAGCTCTTTTACATCTACGTTTGATTTGACCTTCAAGATTCTTAAAATAAATAAGTTTATATTCGCAAGCTTCCAAAGCATACGGATCTAAAACTTTATCAGAAGTAGTGAAAGAAACTTCAACAATTCCGGGTAATAAACTGTTTAAAATTACTCTTGTAGTTATTAAAGAATCATAATAGTCTTGAGAACCGGGTTTGTAAAAGAATTCTTGAACTTCATAATACCCTGATTTATATTGAGCTGCATTAATAATAGCTCGGATAGTAAGTGGATTTTTTTCACTATTTAATGACAAGGTGTCATTTTGTTTGGAAGAACTATTATTATTGCTGGTCATATTCGATTCATATATATCTGAGAGAATAAAGTGAGGATAAACTGCTGATTCGATAACATAATTGTAATCGTACTGATGCCAACTATTCCAACGCAATTGATATGTGTTTGGAATTCTTGTGATATCTCGTGCGTGACTTTTTCGTTTTAAGTAATCGTAATAAATTGTATATAATCCAGGTATAAGTGATGTGAATGGTGAATTATCGTTAACAACAACATCTCTATAAAATAAAGAGAATTATAAATATGAAAGGAAATTATATTAATATAAGTGCTGTATACAGTATGTTCAGTGATTGGATCTGGGTAATTTTTTCGGTAAATTTATTAGGATCCAGTGATTGGATCTGGGTAGTTTTTAATATTATTCCAACAGTAACCAGATCCAATCACTAGGTTTTGAGAAATTGATTACAAAAATTGTACAAGAGTTGCTTATATTCAATAATATACAATATATGGTATTTAAAAGTGATATAATCATAATTGTTAAATGCTTACTTTTTTTCTCGGCATTGCGACTTTGATGAAACAGTTGCAAATTCATTTCCATCATTAAAAAATTTGAATCCTATATCACCGTTTCCTTCAACCTTTGCAACTATATAAAAGTCGGATTCGAATGCTTTGGGACATCTACGTTCTATATGACCCTTAATATCTTCTTCATAACCTTCTTTAAAAAACGCAAGTCTAAAATTACAAACTTCCAAAGAGAATGGGTCCAAATAATTTCCCAAACTAGTAAAATAAATTTCTACAATTGCAGGCCATTTATCTTGAATTGTCGAGTTTGCTGTTA